AATATCTCAAGCTGTCAGAATTCTTGTGAGAATGTCCACGTCTAATCACTCTGATCCTCATCACCAAATCCTGACTTCAGTCACTTCCCACCTTCCCTCATGCATTAAATGCTTCTTTGTGGCCAGTGGGTTTGCTGCATTAAACAGGCACTACTTCATTAAATGAAGCCTGAGACCCTGCTGTCACGTGATGATTTGCCTTTAATGCCTTGGCCGTGATTTTGTTCGGCCTCGGCCTCGGCCTGCGCTTGAGGCCGAGATGATCATGCCTTAGCATTTCTTCTTTTGTCTTTAGGAAGGCGAAGTACCCTGGCGAAACGCTGCGTTTCAGTTTTTACGAACAAGTGCCAGGGCCGAGAGAAGGGGCTCCTTTGGCCAGCTTATGGCCGTGATTTATCAGGCACAAACAAGAATGGGTATATGACTAAATATCTCTTAAAAGAACACCTCACAAGAACAGAAGCAACTACAGAGAGGGTAGTTTTATTTCATGAGAAAGAGACTACCATTAAGAATAACAAGAAAACACAGCAAGCATTGTGGACAAGAAGACCACCACATGCACCAATACATTCATGACTTTTGCAACAAATCTTGCAATACTCAATCAAAGCAACACGAGGAAACGAATACACAACTTTAACTTTGAACAACTCATAAAGATGCAGGGAATGACAGCGATTCAAATGGAACAGAACCAAATGACTCCGACAATATTATTTTCTTCTACTTTGTAGCACGAGTTTTGTGGTTTAAAGCCTACATTTATTTGATTGCTGTTTTTGACAGTTGAGATCCGTAAATGATCAACTTCTTGGTTTTACTGCAAAAATTGGCCCTTGGATTTGATCTCTGCAATTTGTGTCATATATGGAATAGCAGGATATTCTAAATGGCGATTTCCTTTTTTGTATGCAGTGTGAATGTATAACAATATGCTTCTTTTCTCCAATTGTGTTTACACCATAATCGACCGAGCACATTCGGCACCAACTAAACAGGCATACGTGCCAATTGCCAAAGGAAAGATATTTAGATGAAGCCTAAAATACTGATGACGTCATCATCTTCTTGACCTGTTGAAGGGATACCTCCCCCGGATCGGTAGTCGCCTACCGAAGATGGCT